AATTGTCTCCAATTTTAAGCACATTTCGTCACCTGAGAAATCATGAATATGGCGCAAATAACCCAGTCCGTAAATATAACCAAATACCACTGGCAGCTTCATTACCAGTAGTAGACTGAACGTCGTTCTTTTTTCTTCTCTTCTCAAATGGAATAAGAACAAGATCCGAATAGGACATGCTTGCATAAGGCAGACGGTAGTTATGAAAAAAAGAATGGCTGTCGCTGCTCACTGTACAATACAGTCTCAACATACAACAACAGCTACATTACGCCAGCATGATTGTAGTGGACAGACAGCATTCAGTAGTTAACCACCACAATATCTCGGTGTGCTCCTTTCAATGACAGCAAATCAGTCCTGGTAGTTAGTGATGAGAAGAAAAGAAAAAAAAAGCCGGACAGGACAATGACTGGCAATAAAGGATAATCAGGAATTAGGAAAATACACTGCTATAAAATAGTCTTGCAGACAAAAACTGAGAAGTGCATATTTAATCTTGTTCACTCATTTGGCCATTACTGTGTATCATTTTGTCTTGTGAAGTTAGAATACAGTTGTAGGTTTTTTTAATTTTCAGTGGTCACAAATGTGATACACATTCATTTTGACAGCTATTAATTGCGTTTGAACATATTTTATAACTTGTTTTGAATTAAAATGCACATGTTTTCCATTATTGTATTTGTTTTTATTTCTCGCAATCACTTACACAATCAAGCACTTCCTTTTCAGCACACATTGGATTTCCTTCTTTTTCAAATTTTTTTTTAGATCATTGCTACACAAAAATATACATTCACTCAGAAAACACAATTCACCAACTATTTCACATAATTAGGATGAAAACAAGACTTTGCAGTGTACTGTCATAAACACAAACACCAAGCTAAGGAAAGTAAAGGACCCTTATTTACACCAGTGGTGCATTCGATATGTGACTAGGTCAACATTAAACTTGCTGTCTTTATTTCCCAGAACATTTCCTAGTGCCTGTTTTAGGCTGAATCGACCTCGGAGCAAAGTTCAATTTGTTCTAGATCTACACAAGCTCAGTCGAATAACCTAATTTTCTGGCCATCAGTGGACTGTCTGGCCACTTCTCTACTCCAGCTGCAAACTTCATCATAACCAAATAAGTTACGAATAGCATAATTTGCTACTGAAGATCTAAATGTTAAAGGGTGTCAGAACCTTAAATACGTGACAGTTTCTACTGGAGTACAAGAAGTATCAACAATAGAAGGTTTGAAAAAAAAGAAAAAAAAAGAGTAGTACTGATGTGACTGCACTGCATTTATTCTTTAAAATTCAGTCTCACTACATAGAACGGATTCTCATTTACTAACGGTATCTCACAAAACAAAGAGCTCCGTAACTCATGAGTGATGACTTTTGTGCTCTGATTCTTAAACAGCAGTCCAACAGGACAAATTCTAGATATGCTGTTAAACCTTCTAATTTGTCACAAGACATCATGTGTGTGCGTTTTGTCCCCATCTTCAGCAGCAAGTGCAGAGTTCCACTTCTGATGGCACCAGTAACAGTCTAATTATATATACATCTTGCTTTTAATTCTGGTAATCTTCTTCTTCTTCTTCGTTCACCGGCTGTGAATTCCGGCGGAAGGTCCCAGTTAATTGTCCGCTTGGACTTTTAGCTTTTACCTAGACCTGAGTTTTGCGTGTACAACCGTTTTGCTGTTCCCTGCCTCATGGGCAGCTGTACTCCGACTTCGAGGGAAGACAGGCCTATTTCTAGGATGACTGTGGCCATAATTCTGGTAATGAACACCCGCCAGATCCCCTGGCCACTCCTCGCAGCACCATTCACCCCCCAGACTGTGATAATCTATTAGTGCCTCAGCATTGTTCAATTGCTCCCAAAGGAGCAACACAAATATTTAAAAACACATTAGATAAATCTGTCAGAAGACAAGAAAAAACTTACTACAACCTGCTTGTCTACTGCGAAGTAACTCCCCATGTGGGTTCCATGGCCCAGTTGTGGAGGAAAACTCACTGCCTGTCTAAAAGCATGTCATCAAAGTCGACTAATTGGAAGCTTCCTTTGAAATCAGAGTACATTTGCCTGAGAGGCAAGGAGCCAACATTCTACATGCAAATGAGTCGTACGTGTCAAATGGATGTGCACGGAACACCAAATTTTTGAAAAACCAGAACTTTCTGCTGCAGTTTACAGCTGGTGAACACGAAGAAGAAGAAGAAGTATCGCAATCACGACTTATCCAAGTCAGTTGTAGGCAGTTTGGTAGCCGATTGCTTTTAGCATCATACAGTTCAGGAAGCAAAGGCAAACTCTTGTGTAAAATTGACTAGTAAAACTACAAACAACAAATAAATGCTAACATGCCGTGATATTCTTAAAAAAAACGTTGCAGAATACTTTTTTTTTAAATCCAACACTATACTGCCTTTAAAAATGTTTATTTGCATGTCCAACAGCTGTGATGTTATTGATCCTGCTAAAAAAAAAAAGATCTACCAATGTTTGCTCGTCTAATACATACACCTTTACACATACATTTTTGAAAGATAAAAAGTTATTACATTAAAAGAAAAATAATAAAAATAATGTAAATTATACACATAAAAATTGTTCATGTTAAAGAATGAAAGCTACTAGTAACAAAAGGCTGAACCATTTCTGCTGTGATGCGTTAGCAATCAACAAATAGATTCTCATTGGCAGCAGATCAATGATATACACTGAATAAAAGTTCTAGATCCTTATTTACCTTGAATAAAGTTCATGCTGCAATTAATATAGTAGAACTATTTCCCAGGCAAATAAATCAGAGAAATATCTGGTTTCACCAACGATGCCAGCATCAAGAGCATACAACATGAAAATCGAAACAACAAGAGGCAGGGGAAGACCAAGAAGAAGATGGATTGAAGGAGTCACGGACAACTTGAGACTTCATAACATCACGGCATATGAAGCGACCGAGCGCGCCCTGGCTCGGTTGCCGATCATCTGATAGACTGCGACGCCTAGCGGCACAAGCAGATTTTGACAAAAGAAGAAGAAGAATATCTGGTTTCAAAATGAAGATGATAATCATAAAACAGGCACCGAACTGAGAAACACATTGACTGAGTAAAGGAGAAGGTCCAAGAGAAACTCCACATCAAATATTGAAGAGAGATGCCAGACTAGACAAGATCCACAACAGAGAATCAATTACATGAGATAGATAAGCATTCAGGAAGTGACTAACAGCCCTAAGTAATATATAAATTCTTAATAGAGTAACAAATGTTAAAGAGTTGAACATCTGTGCACTGAATTCCCTTTTTTTTTTTAAAGTCTACAATTTAAATGATTTACAACACAATCTTATTGAGTGACATTATAAAAATGATTAAAGTATAGTTTGAAAAGTTTAAAATATATTTTAATAAATAAATGAAAAGTGGTGCAGTATTTATCAAATGACATTAAATAACATGTGAAGAAAAAGTTTTCTTTTTCTTCATTCATCCAAAGATGTAAATGCATGGTGCCAATTTACAACACGGCTGCAGCATTTGTACCTTTTGGCTGACATATCCGACTTTTGCAGGCATTTGTTTCCCATGTTAACCTTCCTGGGAGAAGGTATTTAATTCACACTCAATTCAAAACTGCAGCCAGGAACATACATCATATTTAAATACAGTAATGAAAGTTCTCAAACTTAAAATTTAAAAAATTTGTGGGATAATCTGGTAAAATGAAGTCCGACTGGATATCAGTCAAATATGTTATCAATTATTTTATCATAAGTGGAGGTATTACATTTGTATGTGAAATGTCTGTTCAACTTCACTTGAGAAAAGTGAGAAAGAACTATTTTGCTAAACTGTGTTTTGGCATGCTCAAGTATGCTCAACTACCAATGCCAGACTTCAGCAATGACAGAAAAACAGGAACACAAAAATGACTACTGAGATGAGATTCTGAGAAAAAGCACTTAACCTATCATGAAGAGAGAAGATCAGAAATGATGAAATCAGAAAGAAAATGGGAATAGTAGAAACCGTGAATTTTAGTAGAACATTGAACTCAAATGCCAAAAGACAGTTTACCATAATGGACAACAATCTATAGAACAAATAGAAACTAAAAAAAGAAACCGGCGAAAAAGAGAGTTCCCGAAACCCCCATGTATGAAGCCCACAGACACCCCTTGCTGTTTCACCTTGACAACACAAGTTACAAGAGGATCAGCTAAGATGATGATGATACTTATGCCAAAGATTTGATCTGATTCAAGAACCGACATCACAGAACTCAGGGCACTCCCATAAGCGCTCCGTCCTCATCTTCAGCAGCCAGCGCAGAGTTCAAATACTTATGGTGCCAGTAGCATTCTGATAAAACGTCCGTCTTGCCTTTTCTCTGAGCCTCAAGCAACTGCCAGAGCCTCTTGTCACTCTTGCCTGCATCAATCTCACCAGACTGGTGATCCATCTGCTCCTCTGAATTGCACACGCTCTCCCACAAGGCACCAACTACATCAGCTTTATCATGCACCAGTATCCCACCAATGTAAAAAAATCCAGACAATACTCCTCACCCGTGTCCTCCGCAGAAAGGCATGCCACTCTGCACTAAGCATGCCTGTCCTGATCTTCCTCAACATGCTTTCTGAGTCAGTTACAACCACGAAGTGTGTGTGTATTGTGTTCTCTAACCAGCAGAAAGCTGCAGTGACCGCCTCCACCTCCATTCTTAAGTTGGATGTTGTGGTATCACATGCTAGGCTCTCCTGCACCAAACAACTACCATTAACTTTTGCCAAGAAGCCCCAAGCACTTCTTTTGCCTCCTGACACCGAATCGTCTGTGTAAATGATCAAATCCTGTGCGAGCAATGCTGAAGAGCTACATGTTAACACATACATGACAACATGTCATCTAGGCACTTGTGTTCAAATTTAACCCTAATAACTTCCTAAATGCTGAATCAAATATAGGTCATACAAAAACCAGCTATAATTTTGGTGTGCCATCCTCATGAAATAAACTCTCTTGAGGGTCTGTTAAGACTTGGGGTCCTGGTCCAACCTGTAACAAAAGCAAACACACACACCACAAATTAAAGAAATAAACCAAATGTGTACATCCTATTGTCTCTAAAACTACTCACTGTTATGTATAAATAATTTAATATTAATCTGATCAACAACAAATGACTTAAAATGTATTTAATTAACCTAGACTTCCGGTGTAAACAGCCACAATGGCGGTACGCTTTTTCGTCTGTTGAGACGAATGGCGCAAATTAGCTATTTTCGCTCACGTATAATGTGAAAGTTTCATCGGAATGGGGTCTGAACCGTGCAATGGAGTACATGCACGTGAGTTTAGACTTCCCTCAGGGTGTATTCGACGTCCGATGGCAACTATTTACCAATTCAAAACAACCCGTAGACGGACAAGGAGAACGTGAACAGGCAAGCACGGTGGCGCCTGCAGGAAGCGACTGAAATGTGAGAGACTCAGTTTAAAGTATGTTCGTGTTCTCTACTGGAACTGCGCTTCGTTCAGTCAATGCCGACCCATTTTTGAGAAGCTCCTCTACAGCAACGACATTGTTGTCCTACAGGAAACACACCTCGGTGACGAGATCATTAAAATTGCGGGCTTCCAATCCTTCTACAATAGACGGCACCTCGGACAGCTCATTCTTGTTCGTGACCACATACCGGTGTCTGAGGTGGACATGTCTGAGTGGAATCATGACGACTTACAAGTACACGCAGTCAGAGTGATGGGCCCGGCCCAGTTTGTGATTGTCAATGTGTACGCCTGCAATGGAAAGGTGGATACAGCGAAATGGCAGAGTTTGCTCCAGACGGAGGAAAAAAAGCTTTACTGTGGAGATTTCAACGCCAGAGGAAACCAGCGGGGCAATGTAATTAAACAGGGGGTAGGCCTGGAGGATGCCCTAGTGTCTGCCGATCTAGTATGCTTGAACGACGGAAAGGTTACCCGAATGGCAACACGACAAGGGGATTCTGACAGCGTAATTGACCTGGCCCTAGTGTCTCCCTCCATTGCATCAGGATGCAGGTGGAGCACACTGGGATACCACGGCAGTGATCACTTTCCTTGCGTCGTCCTGGTAGAGAAGAGCAACAACAAAGGTCATGTAATCAATGTGCCTACTTTTATATATGACTGTACAGGGCAAGATGCCATTAGCAAAATCCGACGACGTAAAACAAGAGCAGATCGCAGACGGCGGGAGAGATGGGCCCAGCCACCATGGTGGAATGAAGTAGTCAACATGGCGTGGCTAGAAAAAAGGAAAGCTGTCAAGCCATGGCAAAAGGCAAGGAAAATTGATCCGTCACTTTCTGAACGCCTGATCAGTCTGAAAGATGAGGTCAACAAGCAGACAGTGGCTTTCAAGTTAATTGCGAAGGAAGCTTAGACAGCGAAATGGAACGAATTCTGCAAGAGCGTTTGCTCCAAGGGATCTCTTGTGACATTTTGGCGCCTTCAACGGAGCATGCACGGCGCCGCACGACCAAGAGGTATCCCTGATTTTCAGGGTACAGACCTGATATGGCAGAGAACTGATGCTGATAAAGGAAAAACCCTTCTGCGCGCGCTACCTGGAGCAAACTGACCAAAAAGACGAAGCTACAAGAATAGTGGTTAAGATGAAACTGTCGATGCTGTGCGAGGATGCTGTGCGAGAACACTGTGCTAGGCACTGATCTCACAATCACTGCAGATACCTTAAGAACTTGCCTCAAGAAATCGCGCAGCACTGCTCCAGGCCCTGACGGCATCCAATACAACGACATGCTGATGATGTCGAATGCTGATTTGAAAAGCGTGGCAAAGGAATTCAATATCAGCATCCAGAGTGGCCAGATACAAGAGGAATGGCTCCATAGTAATTTGTTCCCACTACCAAAGCCTAATAAAGACCACTCAAAGATCTGCGGCTACAGAATCATCTCGATGCAGAATACTGTTGGCAAACTTTTGGAAAAAAATTGTCGCACAAAGATTGACCACCTACTTGGAACTACATGATAAGTTCCCACCAACACTTGGAGGGTACAGGTTAAATAAAGAGACATGGTTCAATGCTGCAGTTTTCGCCTACGATGTGTAAGAGGGATTTCAGATTAAAGAAGAGACATGTGCGGCAGTGTTGGACTTAGAAGATGCCTACAATAAAGTACCATATGATTATTTAATGCAATTACTGCTTAAACTAGAAGTTAATCCTATTCTGATCCGCTGGATTGCTGCGGTCCTGTTCCAGAGAAAGATTGTACTAAGATGTGGTAGCTGGTCCTCAGAACCGCAAACGATATGTCCAGGCTTGCCACAGGGATCACCGCTATCACCAGTCTTATTCAACGTTTATACGGTGATGATCACTGAGCAGCAGTTGAATGGAAAGGGAAGGACTTTGTCATTTGCTGATGACATTTTGATTTATCGACGAGGGCGTGATAGACAGGAGATCGCCAGCACTATGCACAAAGAACTCGATCGAATTGCCGCCTGGTGTGATGGTTCCAATGCCTATGTCAATCCTTCGAAGGCATCAGTGTCATGGTTCTCTTTGAACAATCACATTGTCAAGTCGGACTTAAGAGAAGTGAAAATGCGTGATAATGTATTGATCAGAACCAACGTTATGACGTTTCTCGGGGTGAGGTTCGATCGCAGCTTGTCACTCAGGGAACAAGTTGACCATGTGATAACAAAAGCACGCAAAGGTCTATCTGCAATGAGGATTATGGCTGCTTCCAATATTGAGCAAAGACTACTAATACTTCTTTTCTACGGTCTGGTCCTTTCCCCCATTGAATACGCTCTGGCCATCCTCACTGTTAGTGCTACCCAGATTGAACGGCTCGAAAAGGTGCAAAATGAAGCCATGCGCATTATTTTGGGATGTACAAGAGACACATCCTGTGGAGCAATTAGGTATCTACTTGACTTTCCAACAATGAACCAAAGGATCAGGATGTGGAGGGCTCGGGCATATCTCAAAATATATGCTGATAAGAAACACCCACTGCATCAAGCACTTTTTAGTGAAAAGGGCGACAGACTGAAGAGGGGGAAATCGTGGCTAGGTCGGGCAGAAGATGTTATTAGGCAAATATGCAGCCTAACCGACATCATACCTGGTGCAGAATGGATACCTGTGCCTCAGGCGTTTAATTTGTACATTTTCCTGTATTAGTTAGTTAGTTAGTTAGTTAGTTAGTTGGGTTATCGTCATTGCACTCCGGACATGTCCATAGGTGCTCAGATCCTCCCCTCAGTATGAACCCCAACGTCCGATGGCTAATAGTACCAGTTCTATGTTGATTAACAAGTCTTCTGATGTGTCCGGTGTGCGTCTCGTTTTTTGCTGTGCCGATCTTAATTCCCAAGTCTGCCATTCTGGCGAGTGATGTGGATTCACTGCCACCAAAGTCCTCTATCCTTCCCATTTCTCTGAGGGCATTGATAATATCAGCATGATCCATAGGCCGACCGTCGGTAGTGATAGCGGATCCAGCCAACCTGTCAGCTCTTTCATTTCCATCGACGCATGCGTGTCCCGGAACAAAAATAAAGGTGACTCCACGCACAGTGGACTTCTGTAATGATTCAAGCCATTGTCTTCGCACTGAACCTGCCTGAACCCTCCGGATCATACTCATTGAATCACTGAGTATACATATGCGGGTGTATTTTTGTGTTTCAAGCCAGGCAAACGCTTGCGTCACTGCCATCACCTCCATCGTCATGCTGCTGGTTGTCATGGAGAATACATTTTCCTGTATTGTCACACTCAACAGGCGATGTAGAGAAGAGAATCCTGTTGCTGTTAATGCAGAGGTCAACGCTCTCATCGGTGAAAATTCAGACGAAGCAGATGCAATAATCTATACAGACGGATCCGTTATACGCCAAAGAAGAAGCGCATGGGCATTTACAGCACGCTCAGCGGGCAGAACAGTCAAAGAAGCCAATGGCGCCTTCTCCGTGACAACCAGCAGCATGACGATGGAGGTGATGGCAGTGACGCAAGCGTTTGCCTGGCTTGAAACACAAAAATACACCCATGTATGTATACTCAGTGATTCAATGAGTATGATCCGGAGGGTTCAGGCAGGTTCAGTGCGAAGACAATGGCTTGAATCATTACAGAAGTCCACTGTGCGTGGAGTCACCTTTTTTTTTGTTCCGGGACACGCAGGCGTCGATGGAAATGAAAGAGCTGACAGGTTGGCTGGATCCGCTATCACTACCGACGGTCAGCCTATGGATCATGCTGATATTATCAATGCCCTCAGAGAAATGGGAAGGATAGAGGACTTTGGTGGCTGTGAATCCACATCACTCGCCAGAATGGCAGACTTGGGAATTAAGATCGGCACAGCAAAAAACGAGACGCATACCAGACACGCCAGAAGACTTGTTAATCAACATAGAACTGGTACTATTAGCCATCGGACGTTGGGGTTCATACTGAGGGGAGGATCTGAGCACCTATGGACATGTCTGGAGTGCAATGAGGATAACCCAACTAACTAAATAACTAATTAATTAACCTAATTAATAGTATATGTTCATCTTAACTAATATATTATTCCTTTTGCCCTAATGTAGTGATAAACTAGGGATCATCGTCCATTACAAATCCCAGCGAAGATGTTAAGCTGGCATTGCTGCACTAGCCAGTCACTGACAAGCCTAGCTAATGGCACTGGTTCTCTCTGCACCTGATCAGTGTATGAGGTAAAAAGGAGGACCGGATTTGATTTATTTACCAAGAACGACAGTTCTGGGGAGGTGCCGGGTCTGGTGTGTGTGCGTCCTTCTGTTAAATTTGTTTCAGCCTTCCCCGGTCGTATAGTGACAAGATCACTGTATTTTTGTTTTAGAGACAGAGAATTTATTCATTTAATCTTCATGTCTGTTCATTATTTACTGATTCCTCTTCAAATAATCTGACTACAATTTCTAAAAATAAATAAATAAATGTTTTTAAATGTGTTTTAGTGACGTGTGAAAGACTAAATTTTTAACGTTTTCCCCCCAGGAACTCCAGGGTTCTTGGCTGTTTATCACCAAAGGCTTTCAGCGTAAAGGGGTTTAACTGAAGACAAGAGTGTGTACATCTAATTTAGGTATATCGCTTTGTTAAAGCTATTAACCTACAGACAGAAGTCTATACATCTTATTTTATCTGTAAGATTTTTTACAGAAGTCTATACATCTTATTTTATCTGTAAGATTTTTTACAGAAGTCTATACATCTTATTTTATCTGTAAGATTTTTTACAGAAATCTATACATCTTATTTTATCCTGTAAGATTATTTACAGAAGTCTATACATCTTATTTTATCTGTAAGATTATTTACAGAAGTCTATAATCTTATTTTATCCTGTAAGATTATTTACAGAAGTCTATACATCTTATTTTATCCTGTAAGATTATTTACAGAAGTCTATAATCTTATTTTATCTGTAAGATTATTTACAGAAGTCTATACATCTTATTTTATCCTGTAAGATTATTTACAGAAGTCTATACATCTTATTTTATCCTGTAAGATTATTTACAGAGGTCTATAATCTTATTTTATCCTGTAAGATTATTTACAGAAGTCTATAATCTTATTTTATCCTGTAAGATTATTTACAGAAGTCTATACATCTTATTTTATCCTGTAAGATTATTTACAGAAGTCTATAATCTTATTTTATCTGTAAGATTATTTACAGAAGTCTATACATCTTATTTTATCCTGTAAGATTATTTACAGAAGTCTATACATCTTATTTTATCCTGTAAGATTATTTACAGAAGTCTATACATCTTATTTTATCCTGTAAGATTATTTACAGAAGTCTATACATCTTATTTTATCTGTAAGATTATTTACTAATGTGTACATCCTATTTGGTACAACTATTAACTGTACTATTAAATATACAGAAAGACAGATCTGAATGTTACCTGCACCAATATAATTACACATTATCATGACTACAGTATGCCAATAACTGTACAAGGAGTATTTACTTTTACCAAAACACATCACTGTGGAGAAGCATGATTCCCCCATGCCAGTTACAATAAAGCTTGATGACGATGAATCACCAGACACTAAAGAGACCTACCTTGGTGTGAATGACATACTTGATGGCTCCCTGACTCTGTGGTAGATGAATGTTTGATATGTCACTCTAAACAAAGGAGGAAAACAAAGATAGTCTGGATTATGTCTTGTCTCTTTCTCTTATTATCTGTTGGTCGCTCATGAGCGTAGCCCAAGAACCATTTCATGCACAGAACTTCTTCTTTCTTCTTCTTAGCATTTCTCTCCTTTCATACTTAAAATGGCAGCTGGCACATTGTGTAGGGGTTTACACCTATCCTGTGATTTCTACACCTTTTCAGCTCAACATAACCAATGAAAGCAGATCCTATATGGTTACCTTTTACATCAGGCTTGCTAGGGGGTAGCAGGTCTATTACCCCCCCCCCCTCCTTCCACCCCCTCTTTCAAAATAGAGTCACTGAGCCCAGACAGAGATGCGTAGACACTCAATTGTAGCAGTTATCCCTTTCAGTCTCAGAAGGTCATTTCTACAGCCAGAATGAGTCAATATTAACAACAAACACATCAGTGTACTGCTTACACTGAGACCAAATCCACAGTCCTTTGTTGGAGACATAAGTTCTCAGACTGCTTTAGCCTTCCCTAGACATAGGGTACAAACAAACTCTATCTGTATACTATAGAATAGACGACTGTATAATACTACAACAAATAACTGTTGGCAGGCAAATATGTGTAAACAAACAGAAAAGAGAAAGCAAACTTAGCAGACCTTAGCACCCCTCTCCTTTTTCTTTAATCAACACTACAATACTGTTCTGACTGTTGAAACGGTTTCTCCTTGTATAGTTCTGTTTATCAAACAAGCCTCTTCTTCAAAGCACTGATTTTTTTCTTTTACTATAATGTGAAGATTCATTTGTTTATAGCAACAATTATCTTATAGATTGTGATGATTAACTTTCTATTTAATCCACTAAATTTCCTTAATGCTGTGATCTTGTATACCAAAACAACATATGTTGATTTGCAACTTAGTAGTTACTAAAACATATTTTACATAAAATACTTCAACATTATTACACCTTCAGAAGACAATTTCCCCAAAATAGTGGTCATAAAAACATACTGTGAAAGCTTCAGACTCTGGCACAGGAATGCCTGTAACAAAGGATGGCTGTCCATTACTCTGCGCTGGTAGGAAGAAATGTTTGACCAGGTGCAGCACTCTAGGAACATCCTCCTCAAGCAGGTACAGGCAAGCATTTGGGCCAGCATCAAATGTGTAGGCAACCTGTAAATAGGACACTTAATGTTAATGACATGTCCAGGTCTCCAAATGTACCGGAGACATGAGATATGCCATTTTCCCAGAGTAAGTTCTGAGATCCCATTTTATTAGGAAAAGAAGCACGCGATAATAGCTGACTGATAAAAGACATTGGATGTCTTGAAAGTATATTTAAAATATACTGAACTGAACAATTTATACTCCTATAATCTTACAATTAATACATAAGCTGTGCAATACTAAAATATTGCTATAAATATCGATTACTGAAACAGAAAGAAAAAATGTATGTGTCACAATTATAACCAGATGGGCCAAACAGGATATTGTTGTTTAAATTACTACTACTATCTCTGCATCTCCAACATAATTTTCAATGATCAATTGAATGCCTATGATTCACCAATATATATTTGGCATCTGTGGCTTATTGGTTGGGACAGAAGTTTCATAATTCTAGGTTGATTCACCTATATATATTTGGTATCTGAGGCTTATTGGTTGGGACAGAAGTTTCATAATTCTAGGTTCAGTTCAGCTTTAAGTGATTTGACAGCAGACCTCCTGGAGTTGACTTTGACAATGGTATCAGCATTGAACTGTAATAGTAAACTACTGATTGCAAAAACTGTCTAGCAAAACTACAAACAGCCAACAACTGCTGTGTGTTTGCAACATCCTGTAAATGATATGCAAATAAATAACATCAGGACTGACTCTTTTTCTCCCCTTCAATTATTGACACCTAGGGAAATAGACAACAGATCAGCAATGAGAACTGTTTTGTATACTCAACCTGGCTGTACGGTGCAGAACCTTGGACATTGAACAGACCACTAGAAAATTAAACTGAGACTCTGGAAATGTGGATATACAGAAGAACAGGTTGTACTTCATGGAAACAAACACAATCAAATGCAGGTTCTGGAAAGACTGAACTAAAAGAGAGTTACTTAGAGAAATAAAATAGAGACAACTGAAATATTCTGACAACATTTTAGCAACACTCTTTTAAAAACCATACTGGAGGAAAAAGTCGAGGACAAGACAGCAAGATGTAGACAATGATACAAGTGGCAGGCCAACATCAAGAGTTGGACAAACAGCAGTCTGAGAGAGGGAGTCGCCGTCGCACAGCAGCTAGACGCTCGCCTGCAGATTGGAAGGTCGTAAGTTTGCTCCCTGGCAGAGCCAGACTTTTTTTTTTTTATGACCTTGGCTCCCAGGTCGACCCAGCCTTGAGTGAATACCAGTGCAGTCCTGGGAGAAAAAGGCGGCCTGTGTTGTGGTGAATCCTGTGCCAACTGGTCTATAAAATATAGGTCTAGCCCTATTTGTCTTAAGGTGTGGAAAAGGGTCCTTTACTACCTTACTTTACAGTCTGAGAGAGTGTACAACCAAGACAAGAGCGGGAGAGTGTTGGAGATCCATTGTAGCCAACTGTCTCTGTGAAACCTGACAGATTCTTACCTCAGCGGTTAAACGTAAATTACACAGAATTGTCTTCATCATGTGACGTTCTGCCTTTGTTCATTTTAAAATAGGACAAAAATATTGATAAACATCCTTCAAGCCAGGGACAATGGAAACCGGCCTACCTTTTCCACGCCTAGTATGTCATTGATGCAGTGGACAAGTCTAATGATCAGCTTGGATGTGTCGTTCAGGTACATTATTGGGGGATAGGTGTCCAGGCATACAGCATGAAGCTGGTTACTCTCCTGCAATATATTAATGTTGTACAGTTAACTTCAACTAGCATCAACATAACACACACAGGTTAGTCAAGGCTACACATCATCATCATCAATCAGCAAGTCCATTCCAGAACACTGCTCTCAACAGGGCACACCTGAAAATCTCTTTCTCTAGCCCATATCCAGCCCTATGTGCTTTCATAGCCAATGCATCTTCCATGATCATACCATACAAATAATCAAAAATGCAGTAAAAGACAGACGCTGCTCTTGGGATGTAAAGTGTCAGGCCTTCACATATTCTAAGCCATGATATATAAGGCGGGATGATCAGTTCCTTTCCTTGTCTTTTCCTCCCAGAACAATTCTATGAGGCTGCGTCGACCATAGAGCTGTAATGGAACAAAATGCTTCCGCTTCTGGAGACTGAACTCAGACCACTGCCTCAGCAGCAGGTGAACTAACCAATGTGGCTAACTTCAGTTGTCAGTCGGCACCTTTCTGTCTGATCTGTCTTTCCAGATGGCAGTATTACATTAAACTATAGGATAAGTCAGGTAAGGTAATCGCAGCTTCAATTTTATAGTAAAAGGGACACCCCCATAGTATCTCTGTTCCTGTGGCAGAGAGAACCACACTGAATGTCCATCACTATCGATTGTGGGAAAACATTAACAAAAAGCAGCCTCAGCAAGGCCAATAGCATATAGATGCATCAAATGCATAATGCAGCAGTCAGAAGTACCAACACAAACAGTCTGGCACTAGAAACACAATTCACTGCTGATGGAAGTAGCAGTTTAAAAAATCAGTAGTTGCACAAGCAATTAACAGGATAAGGCACACAAATTCTCTGGCAGCAGGCCACTCACTATTTTCTGAATCTGCAGTTTACTATACAAATCACGTTGAAAATCACTCCAAAAGAAATTCGCAGCTCACAGTGTCACACCATGCATTTATCTCAGTAGCTGGGCAATGTAACTAATTTCTTTTAGTCTACATATGAAGGAAAATGCAAGAGCTAACTACTGTCAGGAGCAAAAACATGCTATGACTAAAAATTGTAAACCTTTCTATCCACCATATCCACTAGAATTTGGCTTTTAGTTATATAACTAGTGGAAGGAACTGGAATCACAGCCCATGGCGATGATGAATATCATAAACAGCACAGGAAGAAGGTGTCAAATATTTTGCATAGCTGGGCATGTCAGTGAAGTCCCCTTGCCCATATCCTGTACAACTGTTCATAAAACAGAATACAGTGTCAAGTATTTAGACGACAGATTTTCCTCATTGCACAATGATTTGTAAGTGCTTGGATCCACTCCTTAGTAAATCCATTAGCGGGTAGCGTCTCACGACACTAGTTCTGTGTTGGTTTCTTATTCTTCTTTCCTGTTGTTCTTGCAGTCTGGTCATTGTTGCAGATTCACAGTCATCACTTGGTTCTCACAAATGTCTTACTTCTCCTACAGCATTCAGAATATCAGCCTGGTTAAAGGCTAGTCCAGCCTCCACAGCAGCTTTACCTGCAAGCCAATCAGCTTGCTCATTTCCTTGCACGCCTGCGTGCCCTGGCACAAATATGAAACTCACATGTGTCAGCCCTGACAGCTTTAGAGACTCCAGCCACTGTCTTCAGATCCAGCCCTTCTCTGTCTTCCTGAGCATACTCACTGAGTCACTGGGAAAGCATGTACGGGAAAAAGATCTGTCTCCAGTCAGTTTATTGCTTTGCTACTGCCATGACCTCCATAGTCAGACTACTTGAGGTCAAGGCAACAGTACCAGAATCTTGCTTAACAATTATAACTCCAGCCTGAGCCATAAAAGCCCAAGAGCTTCTCACATGGCGAACCACAGATCAATCTGTGTCAATAATAGCATCCCCCTGTAAAGAATTCTCAAAAGTGTAAAGTAACTGAAACATGTCTATGGTAACTTCTGCCTACCCGCATGGTAATTTTAGCAAATGTTGTGAAATCTTTTTGTTTGATAGCTTCTATAATTTCATCAGTCCATTTTGGCACCAGATTTATTCTATGCTTCATCAGTTCACTAGTTGCAATGCTTGTCTGCATGCCTTCAGTGCTCCCAACTAGTTTCTTTTGATCACTAACCTGAAAAACAACAAACAAACAAATCATCAAATGAAATGGAGATTAGCATTCAGAGCATAATAAATGGTAAACTGTTCATGCTTTGGGAGATAATCAGATGAGCTGAGTTAAGACAAGAATTGGCATTACAGTACTCTAGGCATTCCCATACACACATCATTCTGTCTTCAGCAGCCAGCACAGAGTTCCAATATTAGTGGTACCAGTCGTAATCTGGTTACATGTCTGTCTTGGCTTTTCTCTGAGTGCAATGAGCCATTTGTTCCAGAGGGCTTGACCACATTTGCCTTGTATAAATCTTTTCAAATAAAATAAATCAATAAGTGAGGTAAGAATGAATGAATGAAGGAATCAAGGGTACATTTCCTTTAAACTCACCCCATCTCACCGGGTGTGACATTTCCCACAGGCTGTCCTATGTTCTAGTGATGTCATGTTTTCTTATTTTCAAAGCTGTAAGCATTCTAAATTTGTTGTGAGTGGCCAGTACGTTCTATTTTCCAGGTTGTCAGCGGCCGGCACTTTTTGTGTGTGTGTGTTACACGAGTTGTGCATTCGCTCTTCATCACTATCACTGCAACTTGTCCACTGCAATGAATTTCTTACAACTGTCAGCACTGGTGAGCAACATGCAAAGTAGCGGTGCTTTTCTGCTAGGCTCCCTCGCCCAGAAAATGTCAAAGCAGTGACGGCTGTTCATTAGCAAAGTTGACAGAGAAAACAAAACTAGCTGAAGCCTTGTTCGTGGATATAAACACACAAAAAACAAAAACAAAACATCGCTCAGTGGCCCCTTGCACAAATGAGAGCTTCACTTTCATGTCTGGCCTTGAAGGAATGAGAGCCACGTTTCCACACAGCACAGTGTGTATAGACAAAGGAGATGAAGGATCGTATATCCTGACACACCTACATCATAGGACAGCCCGTGGGACCTGTCACAGCATGAATGGGAGTCAGCATGAAATCTCGCGAAAGAAGAGGTGGGGTGAGTTTCATGAAATGTACAGAAATAGGAATTGACATCACTGCACTTGGGACATTCCCACACGTACTCTGTCCCCTTCTTCAGTAACCAAAAGAAAAGTTGACATGCTAAAAGTAGCAGTTGCAACCTGATTAAAAGTCTGCCTCTGTTTCCCCTTTAGAGGAAAGTATTACGACTATGAATACAACACCCACAGAGAAACACTAACAGCAGTATGATCTGAGACTTTTTCCAGACGAACAAATAGTTTTCCAAACTTAATTATCAAATGTGAATTTTTACACTGTGTGTTTTATAAATTTCGAAACTCACTTATTAAATGTGTATTTTCACACCGAATGTTACACAATTGTCTAAATTAACTTTTTAAATTTGTATTTTCCACTGAATGTTACATAATTGTTTAAATTTACTTATTAAATTTTTATTTTTCCACTGAAAATTCTTTTTCTTCTTCTTACAGTTCATGCTGTGTGGCTTTGGTAATCAAATCTGCCAGTCACCGGTCCCAAGTACTCTTATTCATTTCCTAAATAAATGTTCAAGGTGACACAATGTTAAACTGTCCAACAACTTCTCTCTTAAATCTTCCATTGATTCTCTTCTCCTCCACCTTTACCGCTGACATACTAAAGTTTCCCCCATTTCATGACATGCTCATAGAATGTAGATCCTCTTTCTGAAGCAGACAATTAGATGACTTCACTTTGTGAATTTATCTCTTTCAAGACATCTTCATTGCATTTTGTATTCATCCATGGTGTTGTCGTCATTCTTGTAAAACCACATTCTTGCAGCCTCTACATATTCTTCCTTTGCAAAATGGCAATAAATTATTCACTTCCATACATCAGGATTGATTCTTTATTTTCATCAGTTCTTAAAAGACTAAATACTCATACGGCAGGCTTCCAACAAAATTATCAGGAAGGCTGCAATATAAAACATATGCTCCTATGATACATAATCTTATTTACAGGTTTCATGTTTTCTTACAAATGACTGACCACTAAAATCAAAGCTCTCATCTCAGGCCAATGAGATTCTGGTGCCACTTGAACTGCATAAGAATCTGTCCCATCTTCTCGTTCACCCATCTTCCACTTAACGAAACCTCCATAGATGCTCCTACATGCACTTCCTGAGCCTTGCCTGGAAAGAGAAAAAAGGAACACTAGCACCCCACAGAGACTTTCTCTTTCTTTTTAAAGTCCATAACACATGACATTGGTAAAGACTTTCCACTGTCGCCTGCATTTTCACTCATTTCTGACAGATAACCCTCCATGCTACGATGCTAAACAAAACATGTTATCTATTGATCTCCCTCTGCCTCTTTTTCCCTCCAACTTTCTCACTGTCAATGTGTACTCCACTGTCCCACTGTTACGCAGACTGTTAATACAGACAGGTACTACGTCACAGGAGGGTTGCGTGTGGTCAGAGGTTATGACATTGCCCTGCAGCTCAGCCAGACTTGGTTTCCTCACCATTTTGTTGACTGCATTTGTACAAAACAAAACAACAAAGGATAGTATATTACCTCCTGATCTTGAGTTGGACTTTCAGCCTGCTTGGACAAGTGAGAAAATACAGAAGGCTTTGTGTACATGATACACTGGTTAAAGATTCCTCAGCATTTGAAAACTTGAAAAATAGCAGGCAAGCCACTACCCAGAAACATTTCCACATTAGGAAAGGCTACATTCAAGAAGTTAAGTAATGTAGCATGTGTGGTTCTGGTACACACACATCTGGATCCTCACTGGTGCTATGGACTTCATACACTGTGTTGAGATTCTCCACAAGAGGAGATTGCAGCATTTATGCAGCTATCTTCTTATAATGAAAGAGATCCTTAATAAATGAAATCTAACTGTTATAATGACTAATCAGTTATCAACATTACAGCTTTATCTAAAAGATTATGCACCAAATAACTACTATGTGACATACAAATGTCAACATTTAAAGGGCTAAATTTTCTTATATGAAAAAGGACAATTTTGTGTGGAGTCATAACTATGTTGTGAGGAAATTATTTCATATGGGAAGACCTAATTTGTGTAAGCAAGAACTAAATTATAAAGACAAGAATGTTCTTCTCTGAGTAATTAAAGTTGCATGGGCATCAAGAATGCTACCTAAACACACACAAAAACGTTATATGCTGTGGAAAAGATAATTTGTCTGATGCGGAAGAGAACAATATGATGTGCTAAAGATGTGTTATGTAGGAAAAAAAAATCTTTGCTAAGTGAATGTATTTATGATGTGCCAAAGATGTGTGTTACACAGAAAACAACCATGTTATGTAGTGTCTCCTCATATTACTGCTGGTCTAAGATGAAAAACTTTAGTTTGCACAGAAAACTGTTTGAGTGTAACTATCTAGGCCATGACTTCCAATACTAGCTGCATACTTGAAGAAGAACTGAGTACAAGACAAACAAGAGGTCAAACAAGAGCGTTATACAGAGTGCTAAACAAGAACAGCACAAAAGACAGAACTGGTATCATCAGCTGCTACATGCGAAGAAAGGTATCCGAACACCTTTGGATTGAATGGTTCAATGTGCAATGAGGATGATCTGTCGACTAACTAACACCATTAACTCACCCAGGACATGCAAACATACCTTGCTATATCTGATATTTCACCCTGTACAGCAAACAGCTTGGCCAGAGAATACACTGGAATCAGTCAAATAAATCATGGTGATATTATAGAGGGCTAGCAAACATACACTGTTTGATTTTAATAACGCAATTCCTATGCGCACATTTCATCATCATTAGCTTCCATTTCTGCCATTACGTTACATAGTGAAGACCAGTTTGAAGCCCAGAGCAGGATGTGTTGCACTGAATATTGTCATTATGTGTGGATGTATCATGTCTGTAATGCCATCAGTCCATCTTCTCAATGGGCATCTTCTTGTTCTTTCATCAGATCTTTTAGCAACCTGTGTTGGTAGTTTTTGCGATTGTATTCTAACAAGATAACCAAACCATCTGATCAGTAAATGTGATGCAAGGTGATGCCACAATATGTTTATGGTATAATTTTTCACCAGGTCTCATTTGATTAATTTGGTGACTCTCCTCAGTTATCTCATCTCACAAACATTGGTACATAGGTAAATCTGGCATTTTAAATAAAGTCATATTAGCTTAATTGCTAACACCCTTTCCTGCCAGCCCAGAGCCAAGTGTTCAAACACTCATAAAGCCAGGTGGGAAAGGAAGGGAGAGTTATAATTTACCTGGGCTTGCAGATCAACCCAGGATAAAACCAGTTCCAACAGTTAAAAAGCAGTTAGTGTGATATTTTCACCATCACCAAATAATTGTGTTTTGGTCTATAAAACTATGGGGCTAGCTTCATACACCAAACTTGCCTCAAGGTGTAGAAAATGGGTCCTTTACTTATAAAAACCAGTCAGTCCAGGACAACATCATCTTTTATGATGTTTAACTGCCATGCTCAAGTAACAGGACACATCATTCATCAACTTATCATCAACTATTCATCACCATTATCAGGTACGCAGTGTGCTTGCAGAATGTCACTCTTATTATGGTCTGCCTGAACAAAACTTGGTCTCTCGCCAGCTCTCCTATCCCATGCACTAGCCTCTTAAGGCCTCACTTATATCCTGTGACCATCTTCATGCTGATCGGCCCCTGCCCCTCTTTTGTGGTACAATGTCTTTTGCCATTAATCTTCTAACCCACCGTGGCATTTGATATGGCCAAAATATTTCAGTTTCTGGAAGACGCCATTACTACCCAATCTTCCTTGATGTTCAGACTTTTAGAACATTATTGTTTTGGTCTCTATTATAAGTTTCTTAGGATAATAATCAACACAACAGTGTTGTATATACAGTTTACATTTCAATTATAAACAAACATATATGAAACATAGAACACAGACAACAAAATATTATCGTGGTAACAATGACACCAAAACATCAGTCAAGTACACTGCTCAACAGTTTAAAATTGCTCCACACTTGCAGTTTCATTCATTTGAGTAAACTCAGTACCTGTGCCATTCTATTTTTTTTCCCCAACAATTTAAAGGGTCCATCAGGTAAGCTGTGCTGGATCCATACTGTTGTAAACTAACTGGCACATCAGGTAAGCTGTGCTGGATCCATACTGTTGTAAACTAACTGGCACATCAGGTAAGCTGTGCTGGATCCATACTGTTGTAAACTAACTGGCACATCAGGTAAGCTGTGCTGGATCCATACTGTTGTAAACTAACTGGCACTTGATGGGTCATGCGGTCAACATCATGCCGGCTACTGTTATTTCCCAGGACCCATTTTCTGGTACCCACTTAAGGCCAGGATGATCTGGGAGTTACACTCTGTTATAACATATCCACCCCAGTGTGGATTCAAACTCAAGACCTGTGGGCTGGCAGACAAGTATCGCGTCACTGCGCCCAGACAAACAAAAGTGCTAAGCAGTTATTAGATTGATATTATTTCAGCTTCCACTGATAAACAAAATAATCAGTACTGCATGATAGCTTTCTTCTCTTCTTCTTCACCGACTGAAAACATCTGCAGACAGTTATAGTTTTTCATACAACCCTGAGCTCTTGTTTGTTCCAGAACTTGAATTTTATGTATATTCATGTTACAGATGTGACTTATTTGTATGCATACTGTTGATTCCTAGCCTCTCCGGCAGTCGCGCCTCTAATTAGACACCTCCTTTGACATGCTTATTAGGGGACAGTCGGGCTATTTGTTTTCCACCCAAAATGAGGCTCTGGAACCCACAAAATAAGACAAATCTTTCAGCAAGGTTATTGGCCTCCAGATGTGATTGTTCTGAGAGAGGGATCAATGAAGAAGAATGAGACTGCACTCACCCAAACAAGCATATCCTGCAGCAGAAGAAGCCAAGCCAGCAGCTGTGGGAAAGTTATTCTCCGAAACTATGTGGACATGCTGGAACAGTTTACTCTCACCTTTGCTGTCTGCAGAACGCTTGTGTGCTCGTCGACGAACTGAAACACATTTCAATTAAATATACAGACAAGATGAGTTGAAAAAGACAAACCAATCAAAGCTGTAAAGATGCGAAGTAAAACCATACAAGAGAACATAAACGCTGGGGTTGTTTTATGAACCCCTGAAAAGTTATGCAGTTAAATAGCAACTTTACTACACAATATTTGTCTTCTAATATTTAAGCAAGTCAAATATTACGATATACCTACATTTCCGTAATCTATCACTACGTCTCTCAGTCTAAATGTGTTCTTAGTATAGTATTCAGTATTCTTTGTTATGTAGATTTTATAATTTAACTAAATACTACATGATGAAATATATTTTTTTTACAAAGACATTCTTACTTTCTTTTAAAACATTCTGTATCCTTGGACTCTCAATTGACTCCTCCCTGTTAAAGTGAAAATAATAAAGCAAGTTATGCTCACTCAAATTAGTAACAAAGTAAAGACAGGCAGAAAGACTGGTTAAATCACACTGTGTTTATCAAATATCACAGAATGTATCGGAAGTATCTTATCAATTTCTTAATGTGAATAACACATAAAGTATATAACTCTTCCCCCCAGCATGCCTTTTATCTCCCAATGGAGCATAGGCCAACAACTAGCTCAGATCAGGTGTCACTAAACCTTTTGACCTGAGAAGCTGCAAATTTATCATATCTTCTGTTACCAATAACCAGACGCTGCTGACTGACTGACTTTCTACTCCACTAGGACATCACACAAGCGATAAACACCTGATGACACAATGTGCGAACATGTGGATGAGGATCACCGTGGAGAGGTCCCAGAAACCGCGTTCAGACAATTGGCCATATTTATGGCCTGCCTATATTGCGGCCCCTGGAAAAAGCCAGGGTGGGGCTTCAGACGCTGCTTAAATAGCACTGCCAGTCATCTTAGAGAAGCCCAATAAATGGTGGTGGCTCTGTTTGTGCCTACGCAGTGTTTAAGAGACCCTGGATATATTTACTAAAAATATGGAGCAGGGGTTTTACTGTGGGGAAGAAATCCTTTTATAAAAGCCATTATGATGCCATAATTTACTTTGAATTAGAAGTTGCACAACAATGAGGTCACAGACTGAAGTCACAAAATACATTTTGTTGGCCAAAGGGAGTGAAACCAATTTAATTTGCTATCCAATTCTATGTATTGATTACTCCCCTTCACTTTTTATCGAACAAAACAATATCAGGTTAACTAATACATTGTTTAAAACACTAATTATTCTTCTTCTTCTCTTAGAAAACTGATATGAGGAGGCTGGTAGTCTTTATGAAAGCTATCGTGCAGTCCATATCTACTTGTGTACCAAACAGTTCTGTCTCCACTCTACAGGAACACGTCTCCGTGTTTCCTACACAAAAAAAGTTTGAACATATGTTGATGAAGTATATACTGTCCTGCCCTGAAAAAAATACACTGTCCCTCTCTAGAGAGGCAACTGATTAGTAAACTGAGTAAAACTGCTTTCTTTTCCAGGGATTTTTATCTTTTTTTTATTTTAAGGGTTTCGATTGGCATCACTATTAGGTTGAATAATATTTATGTCAAGATACCTGAAGTGTGGTGGCTATGAAGAAAATCATATAAACAATGCAAAATACAGCAAACTAAAATTCTTACCTTCCATTTAACCAAATCCTATCCTCCTTGAAACTCTCACTAACAGCAACTGAAGTTTTTGCTCGCAACTATGGGAAAGATACACTGATGTCACTGACCAGAAAACTCTGCGTACATATATAAATATACATAAAGATGTAAATTAAGTTGTTTTTTTTAAGTTAAATATCCAGAAACCATGTGTTGTTAACCTTTTGACTTGGTACTATGGATATCGCAACCCTTCGGCCTTGATTCCATGATAGGTACCGTAAATCTGGGAGAAATGTGGCTTTTCTGCCTAATCCCGGGGGTGAACCCAGACCACAAAGTGTTTGTCACACGGTCGCCACGAAGCCAGGTTCAACCAACTACACTAGCGAGCCGGGCGTAAAATAAGTATAAAAAGGACCCATGCACACTACCTGAAGCATATAAAGTATATGGTGCTAGAGAGACCGAAAAAGAGAGATAAGAGAAAACTCTGTATGCATGGTAATCAGGTGTGGGAAAACATAACCAATAAGTTCATCCATTTTCCCCACATTTTTGTGTGCTTCCATCTTACAGATTTGGCGTATCTGTGTGCCAGCTGTTGGTTCCTTGTTCTCAAACTGAATCAATCATATCTACATGGCCAGCACTCAGGTAGGGAACCTGTTTCTAGGATGATCGCAGAGAGAAGTAGTCACTTAGGTACCTCTGCATTCTCAGTTCTGATCTAACATATACACTATTGTAAATGGATACTTTATTGTAGAGAAAAGATAATAGTTAAGAGAGCACTACCTCATCTTGTCCTAGTGTTACACTCAACGATGGATTTGTTGGAAGAATCAAACTTTCATCTTTCTTTCCCCCTGAAATAAAATAGTCAGTAGATTTGGTACAAGAAAAAATAAATCTATTTCTAGTCATATATCAAATTCTCAAATACACCAAATAGCACTGGATGGGTGTTGTAGCCACGATCAAAACAGCCATGTTTACTTCCCGTAATATTTCCTGATACCACTATCAAGCTGGGTAGTAACATATCTATTTTTGAAACCTCTGCTTCGACAGAAGTTAAACACACGGCCAGCAAGCAAATGTGCTCACCTTACTGCTACCACAGCTCTCACTATGCAATAAACAGAGTGCATGAACTCCACAAATTTCTTATCTACTGAATCTCATGTGTATGTTGATGGTTTTGTTGGGACTGCAGTCTGTTTTATCAATTTTTTTCTTAACAATGGACAGTGGTAGGCTTTCTGTGTGGTTTCTGCTGGCACAGAAATGGAATACATGCTAACCTGTCTGCTGTGAAGATGAAATGATGCTTGTACTCTAGTGTTTTTCAAAAAAAGTATGTACTTGCCAAAGTTATCTCTGAAACATAGCGTACCTTCAAAAAAAAAAAAAAAAAGGAAGGCTACAGTCCAGTCCCTTTTAATTAACTTTTTAAAGACTCATTGCCAGAATACTGGCGAATAAATTTATCCTTAATGGACGAATTACTAGTATATTGGCATACGTTAGAGACACTCTAATTTTTTTCCATTTGTGGGGAAAACAAACTTTTATGAACAAATTTTTGAACAATTAGGATTAACAAAAGGAAGTTCTTTTGTTTGCGAAGTACATCGTGGTCAGTGCATTATTTTCTGATTTAAAAAAAATTATTTAGATAGGATACAATTTTAACGTGATTTTTCTATACTAAATGATAAGGGAAAAAAGGTATAGAACTGTTCATACTGCTCTGTCCTCGATGAATCTCTGCCAGATGATGACAACAGACTTAATACCATGATTGATATCTAAGTGACAAACTATTGGCGATGATTTAGTTGAGGATATAAAAACTGAACAAAATATTTCAATCGGATTAATGTTTCGATCAGCTGTTTTCCCGATTTTTGGTTGTTGTGAAATTTGACATGTCATCCAAAAATGATCATAACATCAAAAGTATTTAAATGAATTGTCTCAAATAAAGACAAGCTGATACATAATTGAATAAAGTAGGTATGTGCATTCTTAGAATTGGATAGCAGTGTTATTTATCAAGTAAAAAAGTAAGGTAAGCACAAAATTGTTTATGTCAATAATATTTTTTATGTGTCTAACATCCTTGAATGTTGTGAGATTTTAATAATATTTTGTTGTAATACTGACACTTAAATAGTTAAGATTTATTCTGCACTCATTTATCTTTAATCTGATATATTATATGTCCCAATACAGCCAATACTATTTCTTCAGGAAAGTTTTAGCTTTGTCAGGTTGAAGTAAAAAAATTCTCTCAAAATTAATGCTGTCCAAAACTTAGAAAAAAAAATGCGGTCCTGAAAGAATTGACAAATACTATTACCATACTAGAGTGGCTGCTGTACATCCACATGATGATGATCAGTTTCTTGCCGAAGTATCAATATCAATATTACTAGGGAGTTGAGTAAAAAATATAGGCTATCCTACAATTAACGGTCCCAAATTATCGAGGCTAAGAAAATACCCTAACAGGGCCTCAGTTATATGTAAATTGCAGATCTCTTTCTGGTGACTACATCGCATACCGCGGAAAAGCTTCTGCTGAGTTAAAGTCACCGCCGAGTTTTTCCCGTGCCGCTACGAGCGGTGCGGAGGGGGGCTTAACTAGATGGCTGGGACTCACCAGCAGCAGCTAACGCATTTCCTGCAGCTTCCTCCATTCTATTTGCTCGTAAGTCCAAGCCATCTAGTTTAGCTCCCCTGCGCCACGTGCAGGGGATACTCTCAGCGGTGACATTATAGTCGCCGCAAAGAGGTCAACAATTTACATACAAATGAGGCCCTGTTAGGGTATTTTCTTAGCCTCGATAATTAGGGACCGTTATTCAGAGGATAGCCAAAATTTATATATTGGGTTTTTTGGCTATCCTCCGAATAACGGTCCCAAATTATTGAGGCCGAAAATATACCCTAACAGGGCCTCAGTTACATGTAAATTGCGGAATACTGCCACCGCCGACACTAAATCCCACGCCGCTACGTGGATTGGGGCTAAACTAGATAGTTGGGACTTACAAGCAAATAGAATGAAGGAAGCTACAGGAGATGTGGTAGCTGCTGCTCGTGAGTCCCAGCCATCTAGTTTAGCCCCAATCCACACCGCGCGTAGCGGCGCGGGAGATACTCTCAGCGGTGGTGGTAGTCGCCAGAAGTGCGCAGTTTAAGTCGCAGGAAGTCCACAATGACTGAGGCCCTGTTAGGGTATATTTTCCGCCTCGATAATTTAGGACCTTTATTCGGAGAATAGCCAGAGCAGAGCGACGTTCTGCAAAGGACCTGCTCAATGATGATGATAAATACTCAGTACCTGAATTTAACTTTAATAATAAAAATACAGACATAACTAAAACAAACCACTAAAAATGTTTTTAAAAAAACTTCAAAATCCAAAGGAAAACTTTTAGGTTTTACGTACAATATTTTATGACTGCTATGTTGACCGGCGCGGTGCAGGTGACACACTCAAATTTACAACTACCACTCATTTCCAACTCCTTGTATGGAAGTATGTTCAAGTCTCACTATAACTTCTGTATCCAGTGATATATGTATTACACAACGTTCTGGGTTGACTAGACGACCACAGCGATGTTCTCAGCCGACAAGAGGCATGTCCAAGTTACCGGCTACCGGGTGTGACTATGTGTGTCTGCTATCGCGCTATCTTCATTCATCACGCCATGCTGAAATCAAACAAGCGGCCACTTTTGATCACTTAATCCCTGTGTGAATTCCGAGCCGCATCGGTGATGTGGGGAGCGGGGGGGGGGGGGGGGTGGTTATTCCCTTTTGGCAAGCATGCCGTAAAATGCTACTATTTAGGGGGGTTTGGTGAAATCGGATGTGTAGAGACGAAAGGAGCAGATTCACAGTCTAGCTGTAAACCACAACATTACGTGACAACCGCCCTTTTAAGTGCCAACGAAGAAGAAGACAGTCTAAACTTAATCGATTTGGACAATATGTATACATTTTATAGGGTTGATCATTATTTTATTAAACATTATGTGACAAATGAGGTGGAACGATTCGGGATAAATAGAGAAAAGGAAAACAACTTACTTACACATTCAGAAAGAGATTAAGATAAACACAGAGCATTCTAATAAAGACAGATATAGCAATTCAGAAGGCGACAGCAAAAATAATAAATAAACAAATATTATTTTAGTAAACCAAAGCAACAACAAAATTCATAATCAGTTTAAATCACCATTGATCACTGACATCTTGAGAGCTAAGAGACTGAGATGGTTAGGGCATACTGAAAGAATGTCAGATGACAGAAGTAAAAACTGTATACACAAGGGAGATAAATAGTCGTAGACCATCTATCTCTAGTTTCTTTTACCACACCAGGACATCACACAAGCGATAAACACCCGATGACACAAAGTGCCACAATGAGGATGAGGATCACCCGTGGAGAGGAACCGGAAACCGCATTTAGCCATAAGACCATATTTATGGCTATATTGCCAGGCTATATTGCGGCCCATGGCAAGAGCCAGAGAAGGGCTTCAAAAAACGAAAAATTGCATCCCACAAAGGTATAACTATATGATAATAGGCACACAAAGAAGACGATGGAGACAGACAGACCTGCAAACACTTGGTGCCACCAACTGGAAAGAGAAGGCCAACCTGAGAGGTAAATAGAGGCGGGTGATATCTACAGCAATGAACCTCAAGGGCTCGGAATGCTGAAGAACAAGAAGAAATAAAGAACTTATTAGATAAATGGCATATATTCATTGCTGAGGGAGGGGATTGAGATGGGCTGCATGTACAGCACAATCTTCTTGCTAGCTTTATGCTACCTGTGTCAGATTATAACGATGACGCAGAAGAAAAAAAATGCACACGGGATGTAATTCCTAAGAACTAAAAGGTTGTTTTAATTAACAAAATGTGAGTATAAAGAAAGAAAACAAAGCAAGAGGTAAAGCACTGTTTGTGACAGATTTTTCAGTCGAAATAAACAAATGTTTAGCAAGTTGCTTGATACTGACTTAGTTAACATAAGCAGCTAAACAACTCACCATGGATTTGAACGTTTAACTAGCATTGGATATTTGTCTGAACTTGTTGTGGCTCATCCAGCTGTTACACTCACCCACCTTAATTCTTACCTAACCCCACCCCTCCCCTCCAATTCTGTTTTGCTATTAGGACTCGAATGTTACCCAAATTATTTACAGTATTAAATTCTTCTAACAGGACAAGTTATTGTAACATGTTTTTTTCTTCGCTCTCACCGGTTGTAATCTCCTCGGCACGTTTCGAGTGTTCGTCCACCTCCGGACTTCAGTCTTGTTCCAAAACCTGAGCATAACGTGCACACCTGGTTCACATATCTGGCTTATGTGTAAGCAGACTATTGGTTCCTTGTCTCTCAGACAGATGTAATCTGACTTCGAAGGATGCACCAATTAGTCGACTCTTGCGACAAGCTTGTTGCGAAGGCGGTGGGTCTATTCTTGTTTCCCCGCAACGGCGTTCCGGAACCCGATGCCGAAAGGTTTAAGACACAATAATTAACGATAAATTCTTCTTCTTTTTCCTTCTTCTTCTTCTCCTCCTCATTTTCCTGCTTTCGCTATTAACAAGACGGTGGGCACGTTCGGTTGTCGTTTAAAGCAAGAATGTGATAAATGCGTGCTTTGACTTAAAACGTCTGATTTCAGATTAGTTACCTTTTACGACATGTTTGGTTGTGGTGTGAGGGTGCATTGTGTTTACCCTTTTCTTTTTCTCTCCTAAATGGGACCCCAGCATCCACACGTGGAATTACCGAGTGAGAATGACGGTCCAGTGCGACACGAATCACGTAAGTCGTAAAATGGACATAAGGACTAAAAGAAATGCTTGGCCGGTTTCTCTACCTGTGATGTGGCGACTACCGCCACCGCCGAGAGTATCTCCCACGCCGAATCAAGCTGCAGGAGATGCGGTAGCTGCTGCTCGTGAGTCCCAGCCATCTATTTTTGCCCCAATTCACGCCGCGCGAGATACTCTCGGCAGTGGCGGTAGTCGCCGGAAGTTCGCAATTTAAGTCACCGAAAGTACGCAATTTACATGTGACTGAGGCCCTGTTAAGGAATATTTTCGGCCTCGATAATTTGGGCCCGTTATTCGGAGGATAGCCCATTTTTGTAAATATGCGAGAGTTTACATTTGTTATTTGTTTCCATATGAATAATACAAAGTACATGTGACATAGGGAGTCCCAGTGGCTAGAGGCTCACCGCGGATCGGAAGGTCGTGGGTTCGCTTTCAGGCGGAGCCGCACTTTTTTTTAAAATGACCTTGGCTCCCAGCCTTGAGTGCGTACCGGGTGCAGTCCCGGGAAGTAGAGGCGGCCAGCGTGATGCTGACCACGTCACTAATCTTGTGCCGATTGGTCTATAAATATATAGGTCTAGCCCTGTACGACTAAAGGCGTGGAAAAGGGTCCTTTACTTTACTTACATGTGACATAAACATACTGAATAAACAATGTACTGATCGGAACTTATATAAAGTGTGTCCTTCTAACTTTCTTCTTCTTTCTTTAAGTGCCATCAAGTTTGTCTATTTTATTCCACAACTATGGAATTCGGACAGAATTCAGCTCAAAACATTTAAATGGCGCCATAAGTTACATAAATTTATATTAACCAAGCATAGGTCGAATAACAAGCACAGCAACAATTTATAAACACAGTAGACGGTGAATTCTTTGTCTAGAATACAGGAACATTCTTAACAAAGAGATTTGCTGAGACTGCAGTCTGTCAATCTTTTCACAATCGACTATGACAAACATTCTATGTGTTTTCGTTGTCACAAGAGCGGAGCAACTGTGGGGTGACCCGTTTGCTATGAAGTTAAAACTAAGATTACTAAGATTACCATGGGATATAAACGCGATTACTTGTTTGTCTTTACTTTTTTATTTGTTCTTTCCCCTTCTAACATTCATGTGCAATAACCACTCAAGGGTTAAAGCACATGTTGTTTAGTTTCATTTATTTAGTCGAATTTTAAATTGATTGTTGGAGTAGTAATTTAGACAAGTTTAATGTAACATTTGAAAATGTTTCCCTTTATCTGATTAAGTAGAATGTGAGATTTGTTTTTCTGCCAGCATTAAAAATTGTTCTCCGTATTAACTTTTTTCTGTCGGGGGGAAAATAATCTTGACCTGCACAGTCAGCGGGTTTTATGCGCGGGAGACCTGGCTTTGACTGTAAGGTGATGGCATTTTTCTGTCGGGGGCAAAATTGAACATCCTTACCTGTACAGTTCATGGCGACAGCACTAGCCGTGTAGCCCTAAATCCTCAGACTTCCTGTTTACACCGCCCTAAAGTGTGTTACGTACAGACAGCAGTGACATTTAAAAAAAATGCTTCTTTACGTCCTCTTTTACCGCTTCGGGTGTCGACGGAGGTCTAAGGTCCTTCTTCCTGCTCTTCTGGCTGCTCCGACCATAGACGCATCATGGTGCTGTAGAGTTTCTATGACGTTATCTTTCCATTATGTTCTTGGTCTACCTCTTGCTCTAGCCCCTCTCCGCTTTTGATATATGCTTTGTAAGGTATAGTATTCGAATTTATCTCTACAAAGGAATAAAAAATTTGATTTGCGCTTATGGCATATAATTTAGAATTGGTTCTGTGACAATTTTACCTCGTATGACCACAATCCTGATTTTATCTCTTCTGATCTACAATCTTTCTCAGACACCTAATTTCCGTGGCTACTAATTTTCTGTTATGTTTTGTTGCGAGTGACCACGCCTTGCACTGACAGCATCTGCTTATTGGGGTTGCCTTATGCTGTAAGAGAGGGGGGAGCTAGCTGTATCTCATTTTATTTGTTGTAGCGATAGTTTAAAAACTGCTTTTACCGACAACTGCTCTACTGCATATATTTATCCTTTTTGTATCGCATGCATGATGCGCGCAAGCGCGGGCGCGTGTGTGTGTGCGTGTGTGTGCGTTTGTGAATGGTGATCTTGGAGAGGGTCTTTGAGTATTTAGAGTTTAGGAAGCTGTACAATGGGCGAGTAAGGCCAGTCCTTGAATATGGTTAGCAGCTTGGGCAACAGTAGCTAAGTCAAACTGAGTCCCAAATCAAGAATTGCGAGCCATGAAAACAACACCTTTTTTTGTTTGAACTGGAAAAAGTCACGGGCGTGCAACCAATGGAGGATAAAAGAGACAGTAGAGCCCAGCAACAAGCAAAAACATTCAGAAGGCTGACAGATCAGACCATGTAGCAAAGGTTTCATGGTCTGGGAAGGGGACGACTAGAGCGTAAATTCTTTATAGAGACTGTAAAAACTAAGATCATGGAAAGACCTCATGCTTAACATATCAACATCCAAGCCCGTCCACATTATACACAGGCTCCTTGCTTGGAGACAGCAGCACCTACTTGAGTTTATAGAACAATATTCGGCAGGTGAAATTGGCACGAAGGAATCGATGCAGATTTTT